TGAAAATTAATCTATGGCTTCTTTCTCATTCCCAACAGTCTCCTTCAAGTTCAATTCCACATTAATATCTTTGCTCCCAGGAGACAAGCTTTCCATTGCAAACCCAGGACACTCCAGATCTGCTTTCATGACAATGTGGTCTCTTGTTCTTAATAATGAGTTCTCAAGTGTATAGATTTGGCATTTAATTGGATTAGTAGTACTATCCAATCTTCTCTGTCCTCCCTCATTCTCGTTATTATCTCAAATTTTTCTCCTCTCTCTCAGGGATAATAGTTTTTCCATGAATCCATTCAAGTATCTTTTCTTTAAGCCTTTACAGACAGGCAACCATTTTGCTTCCTTGCCACCTAATTTTGGGCTAGTACCATTTACCTCATAATTTCTAAAACAAACAAACATCTGTTTCTCAGTTTTCTCCTTTTTTTTTAAGAGCTGTTCTTTAGTAGTGATGATTTTTGCACAATTTACTCTGGACCAGATGATTTTTTGATAACTTCTTGTATTAGGAATTTGCAATTTCTCAGTTATGCATGGAAGCTTCATCTCATCATGTAAAGGATCAAAGAGTAGGGGAAAAAATTATTGAGCCATGGAAATCAGAGACAAACGTCAACCTTTTTTTCATGACATTTATAGAAAAATTATCTTAAAATATACTGAGTAGATTTCCTTCAAGTAAGGGTCACAAATATGAAAAGGCTGCAACTGCCAATAATTTCAAAGTTCTTTAAAAAAACGGAATTTTCTACAATTTCTACAAAAAGCTATGGTTTCTAAAAAAAAAAAAACAACTAGGAAGCTATCACAAGTTTGACAATATAGTAACTAAATCAAAATAATTATATTCAGTATAAATCATTACTCTCTATATAGAGATATATTGATTTATTGATACATTCAAGATAAATCAAATTTATTTGATTAACAAACAATCAAAAATGCCGGTTTTATCATACAATTAAGTGCACATTTACTATTTTCATTTTGTATTAGGGTAACAACAAAAAGTTAATTGCTTAGGCAAACAGGCCTTTCTTTTAATGTAAATGTAATTTGCTAACCATGAAAGAAAGAAACAACTACACAGATGTACCTAACTATTTTGTTATAAACATGTCAGACAATTAGCACCAATTCTCAAAGAGGCATTTTATTCTGCATCTACTTATTCACATTTAAATATCTGCAAGCCATCAAATTTGCATGAATATTTTTCAAATTTAATAGCCTTTGGCAAGAACTACCTGTTCTGCATTTTTTAAAATAGCTGCCTTAACATAATTGAACAGCCATAGTATTAGCATGATATTTATTATTTTTCACTAAAACTGCATGTGTACAGATGTGAAAAATAAAAAAGGTACTCATAGAAATGTAGGAAAATAACTTATTCCTCTTAATAGGTTCCATTTAGTGCAGGTCACATTTTACCATTATAAAACCTAGTCCTATTTGATTGTATTGACTTGAATAATTCCACAGCCATTTTTAAGCTTTTTATTATTCTTAGTGGTAGCCGTCTTTTCTTCAGAACTGGTGTCTCATTACTTTACCCTGCCTGAATATCCAGCTCCACTCCTTAGAACAAGCATCTGCTACAAACAGTATTAATGAGATCCATTTGAAGGGATACAACAAGCCATTACCCACCTGGGCTAATCATTTCACAGTACAAAGCTGATAATGCAGAGAGTCATCTAACAATTACCTTACTCAGACAGTAACAACTAATTCAGAAGCAAGGCACTGCCATTTGCAAAGATGTATCTACCTTGTAGCTACTGTTAATACACAACATACATTTCATCTCAACAAAGCCAAAAGGCATGATTTTACTAGTAGGAAATTTGCCCTTTGGCTTATAAATAAATTAGCATTAGAATTATTTATAAGACACCAGTAGTTTGACTACTGTTCCAATAAATATAGAGAATTTAAACCAAACCAGTCAGAATAGCTGCAGAACTCAGTGACTTTTATTTAAATAATAATAATTTATAGCAGTATGATTTTAGAGGTGGTTTTCTCCAAAACAGCATGAGTTTGCATACAGTATTTACATACAACCAAGTAGCTGGTACAAAGGAAATATTTCACCAAAGCATGCCAATGCTAAATGAGCTTCACAAATCTTTAAATTTAATTTCTCTAAACCTAAGATACAAATACACACGTATTTATATTCTGGCATTTACTAACAGGAGGGGAGAAGCATTTGTTCACGCTGTATTTTTCCTTTTGGGACAAACACGCTCCAGAAGGAATGCTAGAGCAGAACCAGGAGGTGAGCCCTGCTGATACTCAGACAACCAGGGACAGAACAAGCAAGACTCAGTGAAGGCACAAACTCTTCCAATCACAACAGACTAGGCTAAGCAAGGCTAAGTAAAAAGATTTTGAATTCAGAGCTCTAAGAGAATGGAGGAAGATGACTTTTGACCCAAACCAGACTCAGAACTCACACACTTAAAAAATATGCAAGATACTACTCCAGTAAATCTCCCCAAGATATATCATAGAATCACTATCAAATAATTTAACTAATCAATTTCACATTGTTAGTCAACATTATATGAGAAATAATGTTTTTTTATTTAGGAAAATACTTTCTCTTTTTCTAAAATTATGGGTAGAAAAATACAACAATGCTAAGAAACCAAGAAAACATGCACAGAACTACCACTGGAAAAAAAATGCCTAATAATGGAGAAAGAAAAGAAAAAAAATTAAGGAAAACCACCACAACAAAACCAAAAACCAACATAGCTCTTAAAACTGAGAATAAGAGGTTCAACGCAAATCAGAATCTAGGATTAACAAATGCTTAGTGAAGTTACTGACACTGAATATCAGTTAAGAGAGTGTATAAAAAAATATGGTTCTGTCATGAAATCTCTAGGAAAAACTGCTGCAAAAATAAAATACAGGTATTTAACAACTAATGAAATTTAAGAAGTTGAGCAAATGCTGCTATTAACTGAAATAAAACTGTTTCATTTCAGTGAGAAAGTATAACAGAAAGTTATTAGTTGTGCATCTGCTTTTCTTTAAGTCTAACAGGGTTCACAAAACAGCAGTGCTTTTTAAGCAAAGAGAGAGAACAAAGCAACAACAACAACAAAAAGCATGCAAGCCTAATAATATTCTCATAGGCAAGGTCTAGACTGCTGCATCTAAACCACTTTTAACAGAATAGCTTCAGAGATATTTGATGACAGGGCTTCCATCTCCAGATAATGTAAGCAAGGGATCCATAAATGGGTCTCCACTAACTGATGTCTTAATATTAAATTCAAGAAGGTCACGCCTGTCAACACAAGCATTCAGAATAACTAATGAAAATCTGTTTAATGGCATATGGAGTCTGGATCACTGGAGAACAACTAAATAATTAGAAGCATGTCCAATGTAAAAATGATCATAATTTTTCATTGTTGATTAGGATACATATCATGCAAAGTGTATGAATGTCCAAATAATAGCTCAGGTTTTCACCTTTAATCTCTCTTTCACATTACTTAAGGTGAATTTCATTAACACCGGACCTCTGTAGCTCCATTTTCTTCTCTGAATATACCTATCAGTCTGTGTATTTCTGTAATCTATTACCAGTTATTATGTTTCAAAAAAAATGTAAAGAGCTATTTAGTTCCTTCAGTTTTGTTCTTCATCCCCATTCTGTTTTCCCACCATTCTAAAACTAAAAACACAGGATAGAATGTTCAAAATACTGAAAATTTCTACAAGAAATTACATGTACATTTTAATTTCATTCACAAAATGCAGTCTTCCAGGTCCCCTACTATGTTCTGTATAATAGCTTTAGTACTCAGAATGTGGGCATCCCATCCACACATTTGAGTAAGAAAATGAGAATATTATATAAGACATCAATTTTCCAAATTAATAACATAGGATATGACAAAGGGTCTTCAGGTCAGTTTAAGCTGGCTGACTTCATTTGTTCAGGGTCAGCAACTTGGAATGCCCTATGCCCTGTACTGCTCTGAGAATATGCCTCGACCTCCCAATACCCCATTGCTGTAACATCCCACTCTGAGAACACTTGCACTGCACTCTCCAAGTGCTTGTGCATATAGCCAGTGTTAGTAGACCAATTATTTCCACACGTTTCTTGATGCCTGGATGCCATACTGACTGCAAGCTTACTTTGACTTTTCACACCATGCTCAGCCCAAGCTAATAAACCCTTGAAGCACAAACTACACAGAAGAGACACTTGAACGGTCTGGGTTTTTTTTATACAGACAGCTTAGTTCTGGCTGAATTGTGCTGAATCCTGACTGACTCCATGTGGAGCCACTTGGCAATTTTCATAAGGCATCCAATTCCCCACATTCTCCAAGATTTTCATTATCTAGGATACTCTATTATTAAAGGTAACAAACCTAGCAAAATAAAGAACTCAGGAAAAACTTGAGAGTATGTCAAATTAATCCAATTAGGTTGTAGTTTGTTATTAAACAAAAGGCACCCCTGCAATGAATGCAAGAGAACTGGTGAGGGAAGATAAAATTATTGGCTATTTAGCTGACATGAACTACATGTTTGAACAAAGGATCACAGTATTAATTTTTTTAAAACCCTCCAAAATTTCTAATACTACCCAGCTTCTGAAGGATCAATTAGAAGTTTTAATTTAACTTATAAATAGAGTGTTCACCCTAGCAGACTCTCATATGATATATAAGATTATTCTAAGATCTTGGTGGCATATCGTTGCTGACAGACAGGCAAGGGTTATGGAGGAGAATAAGGGTACCTGCCTTTAACAGTCAGTGCGTAAAACAGCTGCTAGAAAGAAATTTGGCCACAAACTTCAGCAAATGTTGGTACCAAGACAGAATAAAAATTAATCTCTGGAGCGAGTTTTGCTCCTGCACTTTGTCCTTTGTACAAGCAAATTCACTTTCCTGAGAAAATACAAACTGTCTACTGAATTTACTGTTTTGCTTTTTCACATAAAATGAACTTACCGGGTGCCGTCTGCTTTCCAGCTAACTTTGTATGGCTTCTGCTCCAAAAATTTAATATTTTGCTTGTCCATGGAAACAGGCTGTGCTCCAGGGAATCCGGTCCTAATAAAAAGAAACGTGTTTATTAATGGTTCTGCAATAAACAATCACACAAGTAAATACATTTTTTTACATTAGACTCAAGTCACACCTTGTACCAGATTTGTGAAAAGGTTAGTTCTGAGTTAGAACATCTTCTCCAATAAAGTATTTTGCAATAGAGGGTAAAAGCCTGTCTCATAAGAGATAGCAAATAACAAGGTTATTTGCTTATGACAAAACACTAAATTATGTGGAACTTCAAAGTTTTTAACTTCACAGAAAGAGATACTTAGATTAAAAATTACAGGCACGATAACCATCAACAAACTAGGAAGCAGTGTGGATCACCAACTTTGGAACGGAAAAGTTCAGAATCACAGACATTAAAACCAACATTTTCATCAGCATTGGACACAAATCCGAGCTGGCCATAAAAATGAGTATTATACCTCTATACTGAAGTGTAAAAGCAGTGGTATAAATAAGTCTACTGCTTGAGAAAAAATAGATTTTACACAAATAGCTGCATTACGCTACATTTGGAATTTGAACAGCAACATTTTTTTATCTCAATGGAAAAGTAATTCTAGAACCTTGTTTCTTAACATCAAAAACTGATCATTCCATTTCATAGTACAGGACAAGACTTTCACTGACAAGTGTGTTTGAGGCTTTTTAAATAAACAATCCATCAAAAAATGGTCACCTTTTTTCTCATTTTTACAATGAGCAGTTTCATTCTGCAAAATATAACACTTATTTCTTAGATAGTATAAATAAGTTAGTTCTAAATAGTCTCATACCCTTCCCATCCACAGAACTGCTGACATTTTTGCTGTATTCCTCCTAATTTTGGTTGCGTTGTCACCTGTGTCACACATTTAACTGTTATTCCTTCCAAGAAAATTGCACCCTAAATTAAAAAAAAAAACACAAAAATTAGTATTAAAGCCTTCATAAAATCAAATCAGGATATGTCAATACAAGATTAAGTCTGTTTTTACAACCCTCTACAGCAATACTAACTTCAACATTCCTTAAGGATTTACCCCTAAATGCCAAAATACATTAGCTGAGCTTTGCCATGAAACCCACAGGTGACCCATATTATAAACTCAGGAACTGAAATGAGTTATTTATGAGGAAAAGATATAATTTTTTAAAAAATAAAGGCAATAGGAAAATAAGGAAAAAGGAAGGAATAGCTAGTACTTAGATGCTTACACTACTTAGCTAATACTCTCAAGAAAGTTGATCTAGGACAAACTTAACAAAAGAGAAAATACAAACAGCAGACTTGTAACAAAATATTTGCATAAATATATTTTTATAATTTATTCTCAATCTAAACCAGGTTATTAAAGTGGAGCTGCTATCCTGAATGCCCCAGAAAAGCCTATGTAGAGATCAAATACATCAATCTGGAAATAAAACTCTAAAATAACTTGTACATTCTAGAAAACATTTGATGCCAAGAGGAATAAAAAGAAATCTTGCATAATAGAACACATGAAAGCCATCAGGTCTACAAAACTACAAAATTAAAGATTTCTATGGAGATCTCAAATCAACCAGACTTAATTCAACAGAATCTCAAATAAATTTTCAATGCACACAAAGAAGATCAAACCATGACTATTCACCTGTTGAATCCTGCATGTGAAGATACAAGTACCTCATATCTATTCTTTAAAACACTTGAAACTAGCTTTAACAAATCCAGCTGCATACTACTGATGAAAGGAGCAGCATTTTTCTCCTCTGCACTTCCACACACTGTGGCACTCATCTGTTCTACACTTGAGCAAGTCTAGGAACTAATTTGGTAAAAATAACATCATAAATTGGTAATCTTCTGCCAATATAGTATCGTAAACTAGTTACCATAGGATAATTCAGTACTAGTGCCAGCACAAGGGAAGCAAAAGGGAAAGAAGGGAAAAGCAGGACCACAGTTTTCAGTACAGCCTGCAGTTAATTGACTCAGTCACATCACCAAATCACATTCTGAGAACAGAACATCCTAAAGAAATATACTGGTACATAACCTTAACTACCTCGAGCTCCACTGACTTTCTGTGTGTCACTCACCCCATACAATTTACATGGGCACCAGCCAGTGCAACAGCATGCAGGGGAGTGGGTGAGAGAGGCAGACAGCTACTCGTGCCTGGCTACCACACTGTCTGAATTCTTATAAGTGGTAAAGAGCACCAGGAAACAAAAGAAGATGGTTCTGCCTTGCTACTGTGAATAATGGCAGTACGACTGCTAAGACTGAAGTAACAGGCAGGGAACAGGAAAGATTTTCCAGAAAAGAAAAAGTAATAAACACAAAATTCATACTTGAAAGTGTTTCTTGCAGATTATCTGCTTCAAGTATAATCACTAGCTAAGGCACAGCACTATGAAAACAATGTGAGTCACTTGGGCATTCGTGCTTGGCTAACTTAGCACTCCGGGTTTCATGAGGACATTTCTTCGATAAGGTGCTAAAACGGAGCCAGACTCGTGCAGTTTTTACCCTACTGTTCAGCTACCAATGCTTTTGGAAACAGGACACTGGAAACAATGGTTCAGAGACTCCAGAGAACTTACATCACCAGGAGCACATTGACTCCTCAGCACTGATACAGCACTGATACTAAACACAGAGTTATAAGCCCTAAAGGATCCAAGGAAACTACATGCACCTGGTATCTACACTGTACAACCTCACACCATATGTACCAATCAACCTTGCCCCACTTGCCATGAATTTCTCCACCCATCACTTCAGCTGAAGGAGAAGTGGCAATGTGGATCATCCTGTGTTGGTTCATATCCTAAACACCATCTGGAGGAGCGTGTGTGTGGAAACAGCCCCAAACATACACCTTCCCAACCCTAGCAGCTATCACCAGGCCTGGGTGAGAGATGGCTTCAGCTACTCAGACCCGAGTGTGTGTCAGTATGCTCAGAGACTGCCTCCCAGAAGACAAAAAACATTCCAAAACATGTTTAGAAGGGACATCTTCTAAAATGAAGGAAGTGAGAGACAGGGAGCTACACTGATCAGCTCAGATTTAATACCTAGAAATACAGGACCAAATCACAGTAACTGCCTCATGCCATGTACAAGCAAATAAGAAAACAAAATCATACCAACTGTCACTCACTAGCAAAGGTGTTCCACTAAACATTTGGTTTTCATAATGAAATAAGCTTCACAGAATTGGCATTGCATGCATTTGCCTTGGTTTGTCTTTTGTTTGCTTATCTTATCCTCACAGAGGAACTCAGAAAACATGGGGTAGATGCAACTTCCATAAAACAGAAGAGTAACCTTTTTCAAAACCAGGTTCAGAGGAGTTAGCGTTTCACTAACAAAGCGGAAGGATCTGCTGAGTCTGGTTTAGGCATAAGATAAGATAATTAATTAATTAATTTCCACTAAACTTCCGATTAGCGTTCTTATTTTGTGACATCTCTGACTTTAGTAACACGGACACAGACTGGGATGGTAGTTTAAGATTCAGTATTATTCTTAATTTTAAAAATGGGCTGGAAGTAACACTGTGCAATGCAGTATAAACAGAGTTCTACACTTAATGGGTAAGAAATTATACAAACACACACTGGTAGATAATTAGAGAAAAAGACATGGAAGCAGCAAGAGACCAAAAGCTGAATTAGTATTGTTCTGCCTTGTGAAAGGCAATTATGTTGAGATATATAAACAGAAGTATTAGGCTTAAGACAAGTGAAATTAATTTCTCCCTATTAAGCCTTACTAGGATGGCCTCAACTAGAGGCTTGCATTCAATTACAGGCACCACAACATCAGGAAAACATGAGTCAACATGACAGAATACAAAGAATAACAAGAAAGGTCAGTAGCACAAAAAACATGGACTATAAGGAAAAAGTGAACTAATAAGCATTTAACATGGAGAAGGAAATTATACTCTTATTCAGGTACATAAAATGCCAAATCAAAAAACATCATTTTTCCCACATCCTTGAAGGTACACAGGCAAAACAGTAAGTGCAAGGGTTAAATTTTGCAAAAGAGTTTGTTATGCAGAAAAACCCCAAGTCACTAATATTTAGAATCAATGTACTGTGATAGTTAACTAATAAATATTATCCTCATTATGTCAAATCAGTTTAATTGCTTTCTTCTGTCTCACAGATGACCACAAGACACCTGCACTCAAATTCATGAAGAAAATCATTAACAGCCACCATTTCTTCCAGATTGTTTAAGATGTCATCATTCATTTCAGAAGCACTGCATCTCACACCCCACAAAATGCAACTGGTGTGGGGCCAGAAGAGACAACAGTCCTTAACAAACAGTAAAAGTTCCATTTGACCTATAAAAGGTTTGTAGGCTCTGGCTCAGAATTACAACTTTTTCTTTGATTTGCAAAATTAAGTACCTTTTCCCTGAAGCGAAATTCTAAGTGTCAGTTAATAGTGTTGATTTGATGCTAAAATCAGTACTGCATACACTGACAAAGTCAAAACTTGTTTGGTTTTCCTGTATGGCACCTCAGCCTGCAACAAGCAGATTTCCTGGTACCTGCCAACTTCCTTCAGGTGATGGCAAAGGAAACTGTAATGGCTTTATGTTCTAATGATTCTTACACTTTCTGTAGTATAGGAAAGCAAGGCTGTCAAGATTTTTTTACATCAAAATATGGAAGTTTTAATTAAAAATGTTGCAGTAAAGTTTCTCACATCAGAGTTTCTAAAACGGACAGCATACTAACTGCATTTCACAGTCTAGCGAGCAGAGGTTTCTGATTATTCATTGTCCTAGCAAGATGCCTGGGAGCTGTCTCCTTCTCTACTACTAAACTTTTCTTCTGTCTCCACAAGGATTTGGGTCAAAATGAGAAAAATTCAGAACACTGCTATCACTACAACTACCTCTAGTTTTATACTGCCTACCCCTAGGCTTTTAGAAAAAAGATGAATTATAAAGGTGGAAACATCTGTTGCAGGAAACCAACATAATACTGAAAACGTAGCCCTTTAGACAGTAAAATAAGAATATCTGAGCAAGAGGTATTTACCTGATACTCACTCCCCCTGTAGTCTATAAATAGACTGTATCCATCTCTACTGAGTTAAGAAGCAGTCCCATCTGCCAGCCAAGAACCATGGTAAAGATTTCTGCCCGTTCCTCCTCTTCGTGTCAAAGAATGTTCCTTCAGAGCTGCAAAACTGAATTATACGAATATGCATATTAACTAGATGATTCTTTCTTTCACAAATTATCTAACTCATAATTAACTTTTAGTTATTAATATGCTTATTCGTATAATTTAGCCTCCAGCTTTCAACAAAACTATGGTGGCAGACAAGAAAAAGCCCAGGAAGCCAGTATCATTCTTGTTAAATAGACCAGTTGAGTTTTATACTCGATGAAAAGAGGATGTCATTGCAATTTATGATAACACCTCAGCTCCTAATGCATCAGAAGGCACATGAAAAAAACTTTAGGGTTCTAGCCTCCCCAAAAAATATTTAGATATCAATGTTTTACTGCAAGGCTAATAGAGGAAGTGGCCATACCCCACGAATATACTTTTACTATGTTCTTACAGTGTAGGAATTTTTTTATTCCAGATGAGGGATAATTTGAAAGTTTTCAAAGTTCATCTTGCTACCTTAGACTAGATTCTGTATTCCTGTCAGGCTAATATTTTCCATACTTCACCTGTAAACCTTGTTGACCAACTGCAGTAACAACAAACTGCTTTTCTGCAGCCTATTTCAATATGAGGATTTCCAAGTGTTTGCAAACAAACACACCTCAGCACACAAGTAAAATAATTCAGTATTATGAAAAAAGATCTATTTTTGCACTCAGCAATAGTCTAGCCTACTTTATTTGCAAATAAAAAAGCAAGTCAAGAATTTGAAGAGAACTGAGTCATTAATCTTCAGATGATACAAATATATTGTTTGTAGCTGAGTATTAGTTCCATATCATGGTAGCTACAGTAACTTATTTCATCAGAGTTATGTAGATGTATGTCTGAAACCACAGTAAGTGATCAGCCATACTTCTTATAAAGCTAAAACACCTTTGAACACAATACGATTTCAAAGCTGCCTTGGGTTTTTTAAGCTCATACTGCTTTTTGCTAATCCAATTTTCAATCCTACAAAATTTCCCAAAGAAAGACTATTTACCAAAATGAGCACTGAATTTTAAAAATTCTGAATTCCATCCACATGACTACAAAAAAGAAGAACTGTTTCCACCCAACTCGAATAACATTTCATCTCTTAAGACAGACTGAATAATTAAAAAGCACTTTACCATCTCAAAAAATTGATAAATTAGAAAAATTTTAAGTCATTTTTACAACTGGAATATTTGAGGCATTGAATATTAACGTTCAAGTTCACATAGGAAATACAAAAAAGTTTACAATGGATCTATGATTTTTTCCAGTTACAATGCTTCCAGTTTCCACTTGCAAGAGCAGTGACACTTGTATAACGTGTACAATGAGGTAACTGACGGGTATAAGGTTATGAAATTATGTTTAGCAATTAGAACATTAAGTTCCAAATCAAAATTACCAGTTTTAGGCGTTCTTTTCTCCTCTTGCCAAAGGAAGAGCTTGATGAGCCGGGTTCTGATTCTGGGCCTCCAGTTTTACCATTATCATCATCCTCCTCTTCATCTTCATCAAAGCACCATTCTGGAAGCTCTGGTGGTGGTGGTGCATCATCTTCATCACCATAACGACGAAATAATTCCTTCAAATAGTCACCTTTATAAATACCTGGAGGTCTGGCCTGAGCAAAAGTAGCCACAGCAGCCTCAATACTGTCAAAAAAAAGTGGAAAATCACTCTGGATGCTTAGTTTACGTGTCTTAGTCATGTCATGCTCTACCTAACATAAGAATTACTGGGACTGAGAATCAATACAAATTCTGAAGTGGTAACTGCAAAAAAATTCCTTGTACTTGAAAGTTCATGCTTAGATCACTCTGGTAGCAGTTGCTCTTGCACAAGATTCTGTGTAACTCTGTAGGCAAATGTTCTCAAGTAAGTGCAGCTCAGGCTGCTTTGAGTCCTTATTCTAGCTCCTAGTGGTCAGCTGATCACTGTTTTATCACAGATAAAACTTTTCTTATTGCTACAGAGAAGAAATGGGTGACATGCAGGTAAATACCTGAGGACTGCATGAACACCAAAAAAAAAGACAAAAGAAATAAATCAACAAACTTAATGAAGAAAAATGCATTTGTTTTAAATTCAAATATGGTTACGTTTTTCTCTGCTAAGAATTGTCTTTCCTCTCATTAGAGGTTTTGCCATCATACTGGGAAAAAACACTCTAATCTTTTTAAACTACTTTTCTTTCCAGAAGTTTCTCATAAAAGGACTGTGGTTCAGAAGCCTTTTACTATACACCTAATACTTAATCTTGCTCAAATAAACTGGAAGCTGAACCACAAAAAATTTAGAAACCAAAACTAACAGTCATGCATCTTTACCAGCCAACTGGAAAACTCTCCAAAATATACAACAGTGAGCACAATACAAGGGTTTTATTGTTGCCATTTTCATAGATCCTATGAAAATGTTTAACTAAAAACATTGGGTATAATTCTGTCTTCCATTTATCATGGCTGTGAACAGCAGTAATGCTCTAAGGATCAACATTTTAAAATCTTACTGTATAGGGGAGAGGAGAAACCACAAAAATAGAGATGTCACTGTTAGGCTTCTTGACAAGCACGGGCCTTAAAACTGGAACAAAAGCACATACTACACCCTGTGACTTTTTTTTTTTTTCAGATATTTAATTCAAAATGCCTTTTTTTTTTGTCTGAACTGTACAGTATGGAATGAAGCCTGAGAACTTTAAGAGGCAAATTTTCCAGAACAGACAAACAGTGTCTAAGAACCAGTAAGGTTGATTCACTCCTCTGATCTTATTAAGAGGAGAAAACAAGACATTCTCCAGTGACACTATCACATGGTATCATTTCAAAAATGACAGTTTAAGAGTCTGTGTTACATAGAAGTACCTTTCTCCCCCATTCTGTTTTCTAAGACTCCTAATTTCTTTCTCATAAGACACCTTTTATTTTGTTATCTTTCGTAAATTGTTTCATATCTTCTGTAATGAATGCCACTGAGAGGACAAAACAAACCAAAAGTTATAGTATCTGAAAAACATTCAGATTTTTCTATGATGATATTAGAAGAGCTCTATAATCTTCTGGAATAGATGGCAATGAAATCCAAAAGAGGTGGCACAGATTTCAAATACAGAACCCTAGCTGAAAAACAATTTTCCAGGTTCTAGAAACACAGCAATCTTTGGGAAAAAAGAGTTGTTGAAAAGAGAATCAAGTAAGGTTTCTGACATTACTGGTCAAAAAGCTAAAGAGCTTTAAGGCCTTTCTCTAAGCTAACAATAAAATATATCCCACTGTACACAATACAGCAGCAACACTCCTACATCATACACTTAACAAATGAATACGGATGGATTTTTCCATCAGGAAGATCCTATTTCCTCATTAGCAAGAAACAGTGCCTTGTTTTAAAGAATGATACAGCAAATTAGATTTATCTTGATACAATGCTCAGCATTAACTAGCATCTTGCCAAAATTGTTTCTTTTGCTGTGGACTTTTTTTCCTACCAAGGGATATCTGGATGTTCTATTACAATAATCTGACATAGATGAGCCAACTTGATAGAATTAAGCACCCAAAGCAAAAAAACATAAGACATAGCTGTTCAGTTTTAAGGTTTTTTCCCACCAAGCTTTGAAAACAGAGAGGCAGCATAAAAGGAGGAGGTCCAAAGAGATTCAAGTGCCTTTCCTCTTCAGAACAAAGGATCAATTCTAAGTCTCATTATTGCATGCTACTTTTAAATTGTTTGATTAAAAGCATACAAATTTTCTAGTTCATAGGAACAACAAGAATCATACAATAAAGACATTAGTGTCTGTGTCTACTTCCTATACACAGCTAGGAACCTGAAAAGATTCAGTCACCCATTACTAATGGTTTTCCATCTCCATTACGCCAATATCTTTATTCCAGGTTTACTAACAGTCAAGAATGACCTAGTTCTTTGCAAACAGCTTGCACATGTATGCTAAGCATAGTAACTCTATGTCCAGTCACAACACAATCCTGCAACAGGAGCAGAATTTTCTTCACTTAAAGGACCACACATAAGAAATATCATCAGAATGTTGTATGGGCTTGTCAAGAAACATGACTTTCACAGGACTCTGTCAAGAAGGAAACTGTGTTTTGTAAATACTATGAAACAAAAGTTATGTGAAAGTTATGTCCAACAGGATGGTACATGCATTGTTTGGGTTTGAGGTTTCTTTTAAAAATTATGTTATCTAAAAAAGATAATTACTCTGTATGAACAAGCCAACATTTTTAAAAGATGGAAAAAATGGATGAGTCTGTATAGAAGGATGCTGTAGACTTTAGTCAAAAAATAAGCTGGAAACAAGGGCTTTGTCTACCCCCAGTTCTTCAGAAGTATGTATGTTACTCTGCTGTTGCTCTAGTTAATCTCTTCAGATCTCAAAAAAGCCCAAAAATCTACACGCCCACCTACATGAAAAAGATTAAAAAGTACAGGAAATAATCTGTCAGGAATCTCTGAACTCTACATTCTTACTTAAAATGTGGGACATGTAATGGGAAAGAGACACAGTATGATACATACACTCCTAAAGGCCCACACACAGCAGGTACAGCTGACTTTTGACCTACCAGACCTGGAAGTCTTGACTGCAACAAGCTAAGCTACCAAGGGATGATAAAAAAATGTTAATATGGGCTGCTTACTCAAGATAATTAGGCAGCTATAAAACAAGCAATAGTGAATACATTAGCATAGCTGTCAGGAAAACGAGTGAAACATACTGAAGAACCCTTTGGCCACATTCCACAAATCCCCAGGAACTAACATTCAAAGTTACCTCCAGTCCAACTTCTCAACCAAAAAGGCACAGATCAAAAATCCAGTTCTATTGAAACCATGTGTACAATGGACACCTAGAAAAGACAAGAAAAGGGCATAATCACTTGCAAGTTGTTTTAGCAAACATATTTAGTATCAAAAGTGTGGGTTTGGATCCTCCCACCTTGATCTGTAATATTAAAGGGTTATCTCCCTTCCTATCATGGCAACACAGACCAAATAAGATACATAAGCCTAAAAGGCAATTTAATACATTCTTTCTGCAAATTAGAAACAGCAAGGGTAGAGGATACTTTGGTTGATCATAATCAAGAGCACTAACTTAATGTGACTGAAATATGGTTAATACAGATAAGATTCACAAATCTGCTCAAATGTTTGTCAGAAAGCAATATAATCAAATTCATTAATTGAGCTTTTAGTGGATTCAACAAGCATGACATTCATTTCATACCATCAGGCAAAAAATCATATTCAGATTACCTCAAAATTGAAAGGGGTGCCAATAGACCACAATTCTATCTCAAATTCACTAATACAATGCTAAGACCAGACTTACTAATTTTGAAAAAAAAAAAAAACCTACAAAAAGAAAGCTATACAACAGCATAGTCATCTTGAATTACTTAACTTTTCAATGTGAAAAAAAGGAATTAAGTCTTCAGCCTCTGTTTTACTGAACTCATCCCCCAGTGAAAGGAGGGATAGCTACACTGCCAAATGCATTGCATTTTTTTTCTCTCAAGGCAACAGCACCATCTAGTGATAAACAGACCAGACTCAAAATTTGTGCCATTAAAAATGTCATGAAGGATTCAGGCAAGATGTTGCTTCTTCCTCCTACTTAATCTCAAATTATAAATATCATTAAAGTTTCCACTAACATCAAGAGCAATTATTATTAACATTTTTCAGTTGTTATCATAGAATTGTTTAGGTTAGAAAAGGCTCTTAAGTACATTGAATCCAGCCATTAACCCAGCACTGCCAAGTCCATCACTAAGCCTTGTCTGGAAGTGCCACATCTACACAGCCAGGGACTGAACCACTTCCCTGTGCAGTTTGTTCTTGTGCTTCACCTTTTGGTGAAGAAATTTTCCCTAATGCCCTAAATCTCCCTGGTGAAACTTAAGACCATTTCCTCTTGTCCTGTCACTGGTTGCCTGGGGAAAGACACCAACACCCACCTGCCTTTCAGACAGTTGTACAGAGTGATAAGGTCACCCCTGAGTCTCCTTTTCTCCAGGCTAAACAACCCCAGCTCCCCCAGCCACTCCTCATAAGACTTGTGCTCCAGACCAGCTCCATTAACCTTCTCTGGACACATTCCAAAATATCAATGCCTGAGCACCAGTGCCAAGTACCAGGGGACAATCACTTTCTAATCCTGCTGGACATTGGCCTTCTTGGCGCCATTTGGGCATGATGGCTTAGGGTCAGTAGACCAGCACAGCCAGGTCCTTCCCTGCCAGGCAGCCTCCAGCTGCTCTTCCCCAAGCCTGTAGCATTAGCTGGTGTTGTTGTGACAACAAAAAGTGCAAGACCTGGAACACAATACCATGAAGCAAGCCACTTAAGCTTTAATTCATTTCTTCATTTCTCTACCACAGCTAGTGAAGTTTTGTAACAATTCACTTGTATTCAAACAAAAGGTGAATATCTATCTTTTTTTACACTCCTCTACACTGAAGTATCAATCTTTTCAACTGGAGAACCAAAGAAGTACCTACAAAAAGTAGACTGATTAAAAAAAGACAAACCAACTTTAAGTGGGTAAAAAAAAAAGTATGTATTAACTGTAACAGGATTGGGTTTTGTGCCTTTCCCACCAAGGTTCCCTTCTTGATAAAGCAAGGTAAAAATTACCATTAATTTTTTGGATTCATCATTTCTAACCATTTAAAAATGCTCAAAACTGTATAATTTGCAACAAATTAAATGAATTTTAGCTTCCTTACATAATTTATTCCTAACAATCATTTCTCCTTTGTTTTCTGCCAAAGCAAAATTTTTGCATGTCACTTCCTTAAGGCTGGCAGGCATACTCCTGTCCCTCACATGGCAAAAATGAAGTTTCCTTCCTATATTGTTCTAGATGAATTGAAAATTTTGATCACTTATCATTCACATTTCAGTCTCTTTTCATATCTAATTGTGACACCGAGAATGAAATTGCACACAATTGCTGTCACTAAGTCCTGCAGCTGTTACTGCTGTCAAGAAGGTTAAGTCAATAATTTTACATACATGGCAAAGATAAGAAGCATCTCAGCATGAGAACAAATGGCTTGGAAAAGAAAGATCACACAGGGAGCAGTGATATCATTGCTGTAGACCGCTTTCACTTTTGATAAACATCCTCCATACCAGTCCCTCCGATGCTTATCAGAGGAAACAAGTGCCCAAAATGACAAATTTCAGTAATTCACAAACAGGAAATGGAAAATTCCAACATCGCTCTTTTACTATGAAAGCCTAAACAATATGTTCTTCAAAAGTTTAGTCAACATACTATTTTCTTCTTGGCTCTTTCTAATTGACTTTTTACCCCTATAGAGGAGAAATGTCTAAATAATGGAAAAACATTCCACAATACAAAGCCAAAAAGTTAGCGAATCAATACTAAAAATGGCATTTTTAAAGTTGAAATATCAACTAAATGGGTCTGCTACTCATAGGATATCAAGATGCTATCCATGCACTATATAAATTGCTGACCATAACTACTATTTCGAGTTCCAAAATATTATTGGAAGACCAAGTGGAAGAACTGCAAAAGGAGACTGAAAACGAGGAATTGTTAAAAGAAAAGTGAGAGCGATCAGTCACCAATAACATCTTGCTTCTGGCCTAAGTTTTGAAATACTGCTGGTGACTGGTCCCACTCACTTCCATTTAGCAGTTCCTCATTTTTTAAACCACATAGTTGTGTTACCATTCAGAGAAGAACACATAGGTCTCTGTTCTGGTTTCAACTAAAGCAGACTTGATTTTCTTCACAGCAGCTGGTGTGGGGCTGTGTTTTGGATTTGTGCTGAACACAGGATTGATGACATGGAGATGTTTTTGTTATTGCTGAGCAGAACTTACACAGAGCCAAGGTCTTTCCTGCTTTTTGTGCTGCCAGGCTGGGAAGGAAGTTGGGGGTGCCTGGGAAGCTGGGAGGAAACACAGCAGAGATAGGTGACCCACACTGACCAAAGGGATTCTCCAGACCATGGAACATTCAGTGCATAGAGTGGGAGGAAGAAAGAGGAATGGGGGGACATTCAAAATGATGGCATTTGTCTTTCCCAAATACAGCTAGGTGCGGTGGGGCCCTGCTCTCCTGGGAATAGATGAACACCCACCTGCCCATGGGAACAAGCTTTGCTTGTGTGCACAGCTTCTGCTTTCCCTATGGAACTGCCTTTACGTCAACTCATGAGTTCTCTACCCTTACCCTTCCTATTCTCTCCCCAGTCCCACCAGTGAAGAAGTGATGGAGCAGCTGTGTGGGGCTTGGCTGCTGGAGGAGTTAAACCACAACAGTCTTGAATTGAACTGCATTCTGTGTGCAATAAAGAAGTACTGAAAGTATCTAAGAGAAAACTAGGTGAAAAAATGTGTGACCAAATTAAATCTCTCAAGCACTCAAAAAAAAAAAAAAGTTCTCAGTGGTATCACATCCTTCAACAGAACAAGAAGCAATGGCTACAAACTGAAATACAATAAATTCTGTTTCAACATGAGAAAAAAACACCTGTATATTGTAAGAACAAACACTGGAAGAGGATGCCAGAAAAAGTTGTGGAGACTCCAAGCTTAGAGGCTGGTCAAAAGTGAAATGGGCATAGTCCTGAGGAAATTGCTTTAGCTGGCTCTGTTCTGAAAAAGTGCAACGGAGTAGCTGATTTCCATAGGTCCCTTCCAATAACTTCAGCTATCATACCATGTATCTAGATGAATCCTAAACTGCATGAACATATCAGCTTAGTTTACTAAGCTCTTAGCAATGACACCGGCACAAACAAGTATTAGATGTACTCCTAAGTCACACAAACACTCAGATTCAAGAAGGCTGCAAAATTATCATCCAAGAGAATTGAGGACAACACCCATTCTGACTCTGGAAACTCACCTGCAAAGTAATTTCTTGTTTCTGATAGTTTGCAGATAGAGATGAACATTAATATAACTGACAAAAATCAGAGTAAAATAGTTTAAACTAAAACTAGAAGGGATGCAAATTAAACTCAGAACTTTTTTCTCTCTGAGTAAAAGAAAAATTATGCTTAGAACATTCAAATATTCACTGCAAGACAGCATACCAAAGAAGAAAAACTTAGCCTAGTATCTACTACCAGTTTTGTGAGACTTGCTAAAGAATCTCTGATAATTCAGTCATCAAATATGACTTCAAATAAACCAGACCACCAAATGCCAACACAATACATAACTTGCACTTGTATCAGCAGAAGTTACAAAACCATAGTGCGAGTATCATCTATTTGTAGAAGCTCTTGGGCCTGTATAATTTTCTGCATTAAGTCAACAGCTCTTATCAAACTGATGGATGCAAAAACACACAACTTTCTGTAAAAAAAAATCTATTTGTTTTGCAGTAAAAGCAATCAAATTTATATATGCATAAACACTGTAGTAAGTAAATTCCTTTGCTCAGACTTTTAAGAATAAAAGACTACAGTTACAAGCAAATATGAAACAAATCAAGAATATAAACTAATGATAGGCATAAGATGTACCTATGAGCTCTGAAGGATTCTTATCACTGAAGTGCTCACATACACGGATAAATGTTTCTGTATTCTCAGGTGTAGGGCACTCACCATGCCTGAAAAACACAAGAACACATGGATTAGGAGACACCTGGGGGAAAGGAAAAAAGAGGAAAAAATTAATTTCTTCAGTGTGATCTTTCAAATTAAAAGCCAAAGAAATAATCAAAAAGTGCACACAACTTACCCTTTACATTGGAGCTTTATATATTTAATTCCCTCTTTCTCTATATCATTTCTGTCATAGAATCTAGTGGTGTTGGTCAAGTCTACCAGCAAACCCATTTTAACCTAAAAAACAAAAAAGTTAAAAATAAACTTATATATGTGGTTCAAATATCAGTGCATAAATACTAAATGTCTATAAAACACAATAATTAAAAGCAATCACAGGCTACTTTTGTAAGTTTAAAAATTATTAAATATTGCATTTGTTTGTAAAATCTGCATTTTACCACCATTGCAGACATCTGCATTTCTTTGTGAAAGTTGGTGTCCAAATTAGCACTAGTCATCAATTCAAAAACTTCAGTTTGCTCCAGCCAATGACTTTAAATAAGAAAATTCTGCTAACAGCAGGGAAGTCTGGTAAAGAATTACTTTAACATGCTAAAAAGGCAAACATGATAGAATCAAGTGCTCTTATGCAAAGCAGAACACTACTAAACACTGGAACAGTGGAAGTACCATAAGAAAAATTAACTACTGAGACTTCCATATAAGTATGCTCTCAGAAAAAGTAACTCATTTTAATATACCCATCTTATTAGAGCGCAAAACAATGCAAAAGAATGAACACATTTTCAAGTTTAAAATTAATCCAATTAATTGACTCCTTAAAAACATCTTATTTAAAGCTGAAATGCAAAACAACTTCAGATACTCAAACATGCTGTCAGCAGCTAAGGTGGCAGTGTCAACCACTCAGACGTTAGGGCATCCCTGAATTCAGGATGTCTTGCCCACTCTACCCTAATGTGTCTCCTTGTGTATCAACTTAGTTTTTTAGTGTTTGCTTTCATAGCTGGAAAATAGGTTTTTAAAAGAGCCCTGTGGAAGTTATTACATTTTCAAGAAGGATGGAAAGCAGAAATTCCACTGGCACAAAACACACAGAGTATCAAAGTATATCCTATTGACTGTTGTTCCAAACAAAATTTCCAACAACAAACCTACCAGTTTTACTGTGTAAAAACAGCTCACTAACACACCTGAGCAAAGAAAGTATTTCTGATCTACTGTCTTGTAAGTGCAAGCAATTGCTTTTGAACAAAAAACCTCAATGTCATGCTTTCAGGTAGGACCAACAGACTGGCAATAATTTAGCAGTGCAGTTGGAAAAAAACAAAGTAGAATACCATTTCCACACAACTGAGAAAAGGAAAAATCCAATTATAACTTGCATACAGTTCAAAAATAGCTATTTCACATGGATATGTTGTTTAGTAGACCTCTAAAGGAAAATTTCCAATTATCTAGAGATAGTTCTCCATGTTCAGATTTCTGATGATATACATTTGTATATATACTTTCATGTTACTTTTATTTAATAAATATTAGAAAGCATCATGATGTTATGTCAAGAGCATTACAACTTCTAAAGTAATATCCAGATCAGTTCTGAATTTCTCATTGTCAATTTTGCATATTGTATTCAGAATTCTTTTTTTACTCTGTGTTTTACTGTGTTTTGCAGAAATAGAAACCGCCTCACAAGGGGGTCCACCTGAAAAACAATGTTACACCACTGAAACTTCCAAATATAAAGAAAGTGTCAATCGAGCTGCTAAGCATGGAAACTGACAGCATCCTAGACAGTGATTAATTCTGTGGGAATTATAAAAGGCAATTAATTCAATTATTACTTTCCTTCCTCTCCAATCCCTACAGCATTTTGCAAATGTCTCCAAGACTACTTAATTCAGGCCTGTAGGACTTTTCACTTGCTATTCTTTTGCCATTATTACAGATCATTTCAATGATATACAACTGAAGCTCATGTGAAGTGACACTGTTCCTCACACACTTTATGGAGCAATAAGGCAGACAGGCATCGAGTGTAATTTATCCAAAGCTATAAAGGCATTTGAGGTGTATAGAGCATATAAGACTTGAAAACAGTTTTCCTGCTTTACAGAAAGCCCAATTATTTGCATTCTCAGTCCACAGGATTGACTGTACATAACACACTAAAATTCAGAGAGTGTAAAGCACAAGAAAATTATAAAAAAAAATTTAAAGAACAGGGGGATTATACAAAATATAAAGGTGTACAACTATGATTTTCAAAACATCAATGTAAAAAAACCACCAGTACCACTGGAACAAAACAAAAGCCTCTCCTTCACTTCCTCACATTCCAGATATCCCCAGCTATTAATGCCTTTTGCATGTGTTTATCTGCTGCTGTGCAATGAAATGGGATTTGCTAGATTCCCCTGTACGACCTCAGAACTTTTTTCTTTAGACACTGGAGATTGAAAATATCCTCCCCAGGAAGGAGAGAGCATACTACAATACACTGAACTCACTCCATTCTCAGAAATTTTTTCTTTCATTTCTTGTTTGAGGAAAATAGTTTAGATCAGTGATTGAATGTATCTGTGAAAAAAATAATGTGGCTGAAAATTGGTAAGTAGTTTTCCTAACAGGAACTCTGTAACTTGACCATATAATTACCCAAACATTCTTTTGAGTTAACAAATGTTCTAGCTCTTTGTGACAGAAATAAACCTACCTGTATAAAGCATAAACTGTACTAACCTACCTACTCAAGAAATAAATAAAAAAATAAAATTATTCATGCTGTCTTCAACTGCTCTTGCAATTCGTTTAAGAGAACATTAAGATACTATGCCAATATTGACAATCAGAAGAAAAATGAGGCTGTCATGGCTAATCAAATCAGTTTCTAACATTCAGATTTTCAGCAACCAGCTCCAGGAAAAAAGGAATCACACAGGAAGCTTGTTAGAGACAGTTCCTCCCAAACAGATGTTGTCTTAAATGCTAAACTGGTACCTTCAAAAATCTGTGGTAACAGCAGTATCTCTCTATTACAGAAATCCAGATGTAAAAGTTTCTGCTGAAGTCTTTTTTTGGGGGGAGCTAAATTACATGGACATAAGTAACAACCAGTTTTCTGAAGCAATTAACCTGCAAAGTATTAGCAGCAAAAAACACACTGCAATAAAATTATAAGAACCATGCACAGTGAGGTAGTTTCACCTAGGGAAAACTCATTCCTACAGGGCTCCTCAATTTCACATTTATTGTGAAGTCATTGCTGGCTTGTTGGTAAACTGCTGATCTACAAATAGAGCACTCCAGTAACCACTACATAACTTGGCAAATAAAAAAGAAATATATATTTTTAAATAGCAAACACTCATCAACAATGCCAGGGTCCAACACAATGTAATAGATTTGACAAGAACAGAAAGATTGAGAGAAATTCTATGTTCTGCTTGTTAATCAAAATTACCAAAATGTAAGTGGGGATCCTCATGCTACTAATTTTACTATCAACTTCTAATCATCTGATGTCACTCAAAACATGAATTTGTAGCATTACAACAGAACTAACAGATGCGACTACTGGAAAGGCTACAAAGTCTCACCATGATTATTTATTTTTGGTAGCAGATTACTAAGGAGGCAAGCATTTAGAAATTCTGACTAAGGCTGTGAAGTTTTCTTCAAAATATGCACAAAATTTTAAATTAACTTAAAACATGAATAAGACTGGTTTGGGAAAATTTCCAGGTATGCCTATCAAATCTAGTCAGAGTCAAAAATAACATAATACGTAAAAGAGGAACTGAAGTAGAATTTAGATGCCAGAGACTGAAATATTACAGTTTATGGCTTAAACATTTTTATGAAGGATTTTTGTCTATTAAAACTGTATAACGAAGCTACACCAATAAAAGCTGCATCACCAAAGCCCACCCTGAATGGGCCCCCTGACTGAGGCCCTTGACTGTAAGTTGATCTGAGATAAGGCAAAAGTGACAGCTATTCTCAGGTCTGGGCTGGGGGAGAAGAATACTTGGAAAGGAGAATTAAGCCCAGCAGCTTCAGGGTGGAGCCACAGCCCCAAGCTTATCTGCCACCAGGTCTGCACAGACTGTCCCTGTACTCAACACCTCGAGTGCTGTGTTCAGTTCTGGGCCCCTCACTTTAAAAAGGATCTCGAGGTGTTGGAGAGTGAACAGAGAAGAGCAGCAAGGCTCATGAAGGGTCTCTTATGAGGAACAGCTGAGGGAGCTGGGTTTGTTTAGTCTAGAGAATTATAACCTGTAAGAAAACACTTTTGGAAACCCATTAATTGCAGAGGAGACCTGGAAAAGTAAACAAACTTAAAAAACGCTTTCTGTACACGTGTCCCAAACAAAGCCATCAGCCACTTATTCCTTAGATCTGAAAAGCAACACTTGAGTAAACACTAATAATAAAGCAATGTTTCAATTATTAGAAAATGTAACTTTACCTTCAGACTCTTTAAGTAGTTGGATAACATACTCGGGTGAAAACGATTTTCTTCAGCAACCTGTTCATCATATCTTGGTCCTAACATTGTCTTCAAAGGTAAAAACTTCCCTATGAAAAATAATAAAATTTTGCAGTATTTTATGCATATGTACAGTTAGAACTTAGCATTTCAGAGCAACATGCTGAGCAGTTTTAGAATTCAGCTTCAATAATAAATAATTGCAGAAATAGTACTGTAAACAGTAAATTGGAATATTTTTTAATTAGGAGTTCTCAGAATTCACAAGTTTAAAAGTTGAAAGGAAATAAGTTCATCTAAAATAGAGTAAGTTAACATTCTTAGCTAACTTTTAGTGTGATTTAAGTTGGGGGCTACAGCACAACAGAATATAGACAATTTAAACTCAGTACAGTTGAAAACATGAAAACAGCATTTTAAAATGAGTTTATCATCCAATCATGTAAACATCAGCTTTGATTACCTGCAAATCTAACATACAGTAAAGATCCCTGCAAAAAAAAAAATTTAACAACACTCTACATAGTCTCAAATAAGTATCTATCTTCCATGAAATAGACATTAGAAACCACAAAAGACAGACAGATGCGGAAACTATGAAGCTTTATGCAACTGGTTAGCTCAGGTTAGATGTTAGCGAGCAACATGAGGAACAGCTTCACACTTCACCTGTCTGAGACCATTCCAGAGTTTACAGCTAAAAGGAGAATTATTCTGTCATACAATCAACACTCACATAAAACTGTAATAAATTATAATAGTCACTTCAATTTGTTTGACTGTTAGAAAAATTTCACTTTATTGCCCTTTGCCCTTTCATCCCAACAGTTATACATCCTCCACCCACCCTGGTAAAGGCTGTTGTGTTGGATACCTTTCTTCGATCTCCTCATTTCTTCAACTATCTAATTTTCTTGCTAGTGCTCCTTGTCACCTTCAACACTATCATTCAGCCTCTCTCTCTATTAGCCCTTCCACTTCAACTCTTAATACCCCTCTGTACAAACTGATTATGCAAATCCTAAATTTACATGATATAAACAAAAAAAGAAAACTATAATCACCTGAATTTTTGCAAAACAACATCATGCTTGAAAGTTTTTAGACTTTGCCACTTGTCACACCCACACTAACACATCTACTCATTCATTATGGAACACAAAGAATGGAACTAAGCTTTTTTAACCAAGCACTCAAGAATGGGACCTGCACTGACATAAGTCACAAGCCACATAAGAAAACCACCATCCTTTACAAGATGCTGGGAGAAGAGTGGGAAAAGTGCCTGAACGTTACAACTGTAAGGCTACAATAGTAGCATGCTATAAGAGACTGTACAGTCACACAGAAGACTCTCCTGTTCCCCATCTTCTGGAACAGGGAATGAACATGTTCATTCTCTTCCTAGTAGCAAACCTTGATTTAGTGTCTGATTTGCACTCTGATTTCTTTTTGAGCAACCAAAATACATTCCTGTTCACTGATAGGAAAAGAAAGACAAAGAAGTCTAGTCAGCATCCCCGTCAGTATTTGAATACCTACAGACAGCTGTGTAAGTGATGAATATTTCATATAGAGCCCACTGACTATGACTTTCAATGATGAAACACAGATGTTTGGAAGTATTTAGGTGCTCAGCTTCTACAAATTCCATTTCCTTCTTCTCTATTTGGAAAATTTGCAATTTGGTTTTCGTACAGATGCTTTTTGTACATCCCTTCCCTGTGTGTATACAAGCCTCTCATTATGTGTGATCAAGCTACTGAAAATGTAAGCTTTAATTCTAAAAAGATTTCTAAACTTTTTGAGTAATATGGACAAGTATTACGGAGGCAGCAGCTGCTGCCTCTTCTACAGTTTTGCCTTACATCTTATGCTAAAGAAATGCAGTAACAGCTGATTGCAACTCAACTTAAGCTTCCATGCATAAGCTTTTGAAGATTAAAAAATCATATGCCGAATTAGGTGATCCAACAGTAACACAGTGGTACTTTACATGGATATCAAAGCATCCCAAGTCATGCAAGTATCTAAACTACATTATGACACTAATTGTAACTTCTCAATAGAATTTCCAAATTAACTTCAAAATGTTACTCTAAGGCTGACAACTGATGATTACCTACTTCGGCAATTAAGTTCAAATTTGTCAAATAGTTTTGGAAAGTGGCTATTAAAAACCAATTTCCAAATTAGTTACCTGTCTAAAAGATGGTATTTCTTTAGACTGAAAAATAGGTAAAAATTCTAAAAATAAGAGCCCAGTATATCAGAGCACAGACATGAAGTGGATAAAGCTGAGGGAAATCAAAGTGAACAATTGCAATCAAAGTGAGACATTACATTTTCTACATGTACATGCTCTAACTTTGGCACATTTTTTATCTTCAAATCTAAATTCTAGAGCATACCAGTGAAAAAATACTCTTAATTTAGCTAATTTTCTGTGACATGAAGCTATCAACTCAAAGCATGACATACATAATTATGTATGACCATGGTATGTTTAGATTGAGCGTTGATTAGGAAGGCTAGACTGGGTAAAGCGACTGAGGTTAAGGGAATTAAATTAAACGGTAAAATCCACAATTGAAAAACCCCAATATCTCTAAAAAGTAGCAGTTTTCTGATTTAAGAGAACTATGCTGGATCAAAGCATCCATTTCACCTAGTATGTCATCACCAACACAGACCAATAACAGACAACTAGGAAAGAAAGTAAAACAATGACAATCCATTATCAGATTATTCTCCCCAACTACAACAAGCTATAGTTCAGAAACTTCCTGAACCAGAAGCATTACTCTTATTTAAGTATTATTATGCTTTCCATAATATCCCACAGCTCTGCATGCTACATGTGTGTCTAGAACAGGATTAACTAATATGCATCAATAGGAGGAGGCTAGAAACCACTGCTGAGACACTTCTTATGCCTTTTCTTTCATATCTTGCTAGCACTTTCCATAGCAAAATTGCCAAGAGAATGGGTTTTCAGAGGTCATTAAAAGCAGATACTTGCTGAGATGGTGATGCCAAGGCAGTAAGGCCGTAGTAACCTGAACACTTCAGATCTAAGCATTCAGAGAAAGCTCTCTTCATTGAAATGACTGATGTTCTATTACAATGCAATATGTGAAAATGTGCAATTCTGAGGAACTCCGGTACCATAAAACCAAAAAGTGGCACAAAATTACCAATATTTAAAGAAGTGAAATGGAAAATAATGGGAGACATAGATGAATTCACCTTGTCCAGGATGAAGAGCCCTGTTAAGCTGAATGAACCCAATCTCACCAACAGCAGAGTTTCAGGCCTCATTAGTACTTGTATTGAGGTCATCTAGAAATCCTAGATGCCACAACCATGAGACAAGAGCATCACGATCAAACACTCGATGAATATGAGTCCACGGAAGCCATACAAACCTTGCTTAGCAACACTATTACTATGGAAATGACAACACTATCAGATGGAAATAAAGTCGCATACAGGTGCTTAGAAATCTGATTTAAACATTAATTAAAACTAAAATGCAACATATTTGGGAGACAGTACCAACATCAATTAAACCCTTACAAATTATCTCACATAAAACTGCTAGATGTCTTTGAATGTAAAACAGCAAAAAAGGGAAGAAGACTGATGGCATACCATTACTTCTGGTAAGTTGTTCACACTAAAAAACTAAAAATAAAGTAAATGAGAACACACCCTGATAAAGCACCCAAAGAAATGAGCCAAGCACTTTCAGTTTTTTTACTGTGCATTAACTTCCTGTGCATGATTGCATGGAATGGAAAAGAATTACCTTGCAGTTCCTGAATAAACAAACACACAAGCAGTGATGGCACAGCAGATGACACACTGATGACCCTCATTCGCGCTTACTCTACGTTGCTATTTCTGAGAAACCATGGCTTAAAAGACAGACAAACAAAAGCCACAACTAACAGAGATCAAGAACTTGCTGAGAAGAAAAACATAGAATAAAGAATCATTAGTCTGTTTTTGTCATGGTCAAAGGCTTAGGCTATCAAATCTCTCTCATTAGATACAAAGTAATGCACATGGTCATGATCAAGAGAAACAGATAATGGACATGAGCAATCCAACAACTGTTATTAAACTGAGCCAAGTTCATAGAAATACAAGGAACTTGAGGGAAATCAGTAACCCACAAAATGAACAACTGATGTTAAGTACTGATAAATGCCAAATAATGCATATTGATGATTACTGAGGATTGAACCAACCGAGATGTCTCAGGTTCGAAATATAGTCATCAGTGTCTTCCATTCCACAACCAAATGCTATCAAAAAAATGTGAGATGATGTGGAAATGTGGGATAGAAAACACAGGAGTTGTAACTATTAGGCAAATCATGGCACAGCGCCAGTTTAAATAACACACTGAGTAGCACATGTGGGAAAACATACCTTTACATCATCACAGAGAGGGATATGAAAGGAGTGAAAACTAGAAAATATGGAGGAAAAAACTCAACAAGTAGGGATTATAAAAAAAAACTTGAGAAAACTGAAAAGAGAGATGTTTGTTTACTTTATCTCATACCAGGGCAGCAGAGGAAGAATTCACCTGAAGTCAGTATGATGGTTAACACACAGTCAGAAATGTGTCTCTAGATGATATCGAATTCACTGCCACTATATGCCAGAAGACTAGATACAGAGTAACAACCCAGAGAGTGCCTTATGGGCAAGACTATAATATCCAAGAAGACAGCAACAACTGACAAACCCTGAAATACAACTGTAACACTGGAGTACACCACTTTAACTCATTTTCCAGCTAAAGAACTCAGGAACACGCTGGTGACTGGAAGGGCACCGTCAGTTGGCAGAGTAACTAATTGACACAGATAAGACTTCAGAGCATTCACGAAAAAGAGAACCACACATGGAAGAGGCTGCACAGAGGACTGATGTCACAGAATTGGTCAGGGTGGGGGACCACAGAGGGCCATCTGGTCCAACCTCCCTGCTCAAGCATCATCCGACAGCACATTGCACAGGATTGTGTCTGGATGGATCTTGGATATCTCCAGTAAAGGAGACTCAAAAATCTCTCGGGGCAATCTGCTCCACTTCAGTCACCTGCACAGTAAAGAAATTCTTCCTCATGTTCAGGTGGAACTTCCTGTGCATCAGTTTCTGCCCATTGCCTCTTGTCCTATTGATTGGCACCACTGAGAAGAGCCTGGTTCCATCTTCCTGCCACCCACCCTTTAGATATTTATATGCATCAATGCGATCCCCTCTCAGACACCTCTTCTTGAGGCTGAACAAGTTCAGCTGCCTTAGCTTTTCCTCCTAAGAAAAATGTTCCAAGCCTCTGATCAATTTAGTAGCCCCAGTATGGCACTTTCTGCATGCCTGGCTCATCTCATCAGATGTGAGAGAGGAAAAGTTTTAGCCCGAAAGTGAACCAGTGCGAAGCGAGAGCACAGCACTAAGGCTCCGGGGGGCAGGAGAGGGCCCGTACCCCTGCACCTCTGGGTGAGGCCGGGGCGAGTCCGTGTCAGAGGGGGCACCGGCCGAAGGGAGGGCGAGCCAGGCACTCAAGGCAAAGCGCTGCTGCGGGCCGGGCTTTAAGGAGAACAGCCGCCCAACAGGAGTCAGGTCCGGGACAAACACCGGCCGGGAGCTGGGGGGGAACACTGCACAGCCGTAGCCCTGGGACAAAGCGCTCCGGCCGGGACAGAGAGCGAGAAGCCGCGGCGGCCCCCGGCGCTGAAGAGGAGCGGGACCGGCGGGCAGCGGAGCGCCGCAGGGGAGGGGGCCGCGCCCGCTGCCGCCCCGGGACCGGGCAGGGCCGGACTGGGCCGGGCGCTCACCTGCCACGGGCTGTCCCCTCCTGGGGCAGTGGAGCCAGCGCGGCGGGATCTTGTTGTAGGACATGGCGGGGCCCGGGCGGCCCCGGGGGGGAGGGAGGGAGGCGGGGAGGGGGCGCGGGGTGCGAGGCTGCCCCGGGGCGCTCAGCGGCCCCTCGCTCGCGGCGCCTCCATTCAGACCCGGCTCCGCCTCGGCCGCCGCCGCACACGGAGCGCCGGGAGCCGCTTCCGCTTCCGGGGCTCCGAGACCAGGGGTGGTGCCCGGCCGGGAAGAGGGCAGCGTAAACGAGGGCTCCTCAGCCTGGGGAGCGGGGCGGGCTGGAAAGGGAGGTGATTGTGAACTGCTACAGGCTCCTCCTCTCTGTACGGCGGGCGGCCACAAAGCTGGTGAAGGGGCTGGAGCACTAGTTCCCTAAGGAGCACTTAGGGGAGCTGGGGTGTTCACCCTGGAGAAAAGGAGGCTCAGGGAGAGCCTTATCGCTCTCTAGAACTGGCTGAGAGCAGCCTGAAGCCAGCTGGGGTTCGGCCTCTTCTCTCAGGCAACCAGCAATAGAACAAGAGAACATAGTCATAAACTGCACCAGGGGAGGTTTAGGCTGGACATTAGAAGGAGTTTCTTCACAAAGATGATTAGGCATTGGAATGGGCTGCCCAGGGAGGTGGTGAAGTCACCATCCCTAGACGTGTTTAAGGACAGACTGGACGTGGCACTTGGTGCCATGATCTAGTTGAAGTGGTGGTGTTTGGTCATGGGTTGGACTCGATCTCAGAGGACTTTTACAACCTCATTGATTCTGTGATTCTGAGTGAGCACCTTCGAGCCACTACAGGAAAGTAACAGGACCTCAGATGGAAACAGCTGCGGGGATCGTTTGTCCAGCCACAGGAGCAGTCGGCAAAGGTTGCTGCAAATGAAGAGTTTGCACAGGTCTCAGGGAAGACTGAGCAGGTGCTCCGAAGAGAATGTAATCCATGGCTACTGAAGTAGCAGGCTGATTCAGGTGAGAAATGGCCTGAGCTGAAAATAGCTGGAAGCTTGGACAGACGTAATTCCTCAGCTTTCACTTTTTGCCAGATGCTCCCTTATAGCCAGAAGTGAATGTGGAAATAGGTGGATCTTTGTAGTAGTGCAGCTTATTCTAATCAGGATTTAACAGGCTTGGTAGTGCAGCAGAGATACCTCTGTCCTGGGCCTTCTATTTCTTTTGTGAAAAAGCACACCCAGAAAGATGGCATGCAGAGAAATAGGCTTAAAAACTTTTCCATACAGAAACGTATCCATTCTGTTTCCATACAGAATGCCTGTGAAAATTCTCCGTGGACTTTAAGAGGTCTATTACATGGACTCAGTTGAAGAATTGTAGCCCTGCAGTGTTTGTCCATGTGAAAGGAATATTTAAGGTGTGGCGTGGTTTAACTCCTGTAGCAACTAAGCCCACACGGCCACTTACTCTGTCCTTCCTGTAGCAGGATGGGGGAGAGAATCAGAAGGGTGAAAGTGAGAAAGATCAGTGATTAAATAAATATAAGGAAAAATAAGGAATTGATTTGCTATTTTCTATTGGCAGGTATGTGTTTAGCCATTTCCACGAAAACTGGGCTTCATAATTCACAACAGTGACTTCAGAAGAAAAACACCATAACTCCAAATGTCCCCTCCTTCTCCCATGTTTTATTGCTGAGAACAACATCATATGGTCTGGGATATCCCTTTGGTCAGCTGGGGTCAGCTGTACCAGCTGTTCCAGCTGTGTACCCCTGACAAATTCCACAAATGCACCCTCAGCCTGCTCACTGTCAGGGCAGCATGAGAAGCAGTGCAAGACCTATTCAGCGTTAGCTAAAATGTCCCAATGTTCCCAATACTGTTTTGGTCACCAATGCAAAATGCAGCACCCAACAAGCTACTACTATGAAAATTAACTATCTCAGTGATGCATGCAAGATAGGCTGGAAATAAATCCCCACAGACTGGCTAAAGAGCAGGTATTTGTTTATTGCAGCTCTGGTGGTAGGAGGGATTTGTACACCTAACTTGGCCACCCCTGTGAAGTGCTGTGGTATATTTATACAGTAAGTATTGCTTAGTATCAATGTGTTCACTACAACATCATCACATATGCCCAGGAACTAATTTTCCGAGTATGCTCTCAAGGTTATTAGTTCTTTTGCACTGCACTTGGGTCTCCCCAATTCAGGGGTTGTTGGAGGTCTTTGATGAAGGCTTCTAAGATCTTCTTCACATCTGAACTTTTCAACTTTGTCTTCAGAGCATGTGCAGTTACAGTGTTCCTTGGTTTGTCTGGTCTTAACCGGCCTAAATTCTTTGTTTTGTGGCTAGTTGGCTTTTCACTTGCCAATTTTTCATAGTACTGTACTTATCTATCTCTAAAGCTATCTACCTGGCGAGTTTTTTGTTCTTTTTTTTGTCTATTCAGCACTAAGCAACTAGTTAACCATATAGTAACCATTACATTGCATAAAAAATTATGATTCAGGTTATAGAGGTATAAAAAACTATGACTCAGTTTATATAGGTATATAAAAAGTCATGATTTAAGTTATATTGATATATTATAACTCAAGCTCTATAAGCACCTTGTAACTAAGATCAAAGTTATATAGGCATCATCATCCAAAACCAGTACAGGTGGTTTCAGTGAAGCATTGGGAAACAACAGCAATAGATTATTTTTGTACCTAATTTTCCAGTTACATTTCAGTACTGTTCTGTCTGCACTTTCTGTTTTGCCACAAGCCAGATGTGCTGTCTTTGCAAGTCACAGCTTGTAGGTGCCACAGCTTCAGAACTAATCAGAGCTGTGTGTACAGATATAATAGGAAGCCCTTAGGTTCTGCAAACACATTAAAACAATTAAAATAATTTAATCCATCTAGAATTTATTACAAACTTCATTACACATTTTCCTCCTGCATTTTATAACTGGATTTTATTAGACATAATTTCTTCCTTAGAATATCCTCTCATAGTAATTGAGGTGTTCAGTTAGGTAGTTTGCATAACTGAGTCATTAGGTTCTCATGTTAGAAGTTTCTGAATTTTGTCTTCGAAGGCTTTTGTCATCATCAGATACTAATCTTCTCATCCTACCTAAAACTGAAGGTCTTGCTACAGAAAAAGACGAATCATATTATTTTCCCTAACTGCTAAATGCACTTCCATTATAATATTACTTTATGCTGTTTGAAATAAAGTGCTTATTTTCCTTTACAGAACAAACAACCAACAAGTCAGACACCAGGTGGTGCCCAAGACTGGAGAGAAAAGAAAGTGAACCCAGTGCAAGGCGTATTCAGAAAGGGTGAGAAGCAAAGAGCAACAGCAAAATACTCAGTATCTGATTTGAGTAAATTGGGAGGAACGTGCAGCAACGTCAGCAGTATGGCAAAATTAGGAACTAAACCATTTGGAGAGGGGAAGATTAGTACAAAAAGATATCATTAATGAGCAGTTCTCATCTATTCTCATCACCTAGATTTAAGATTCTGATAGCTTTTAAACAAGTGTAAGAGCTGCAGATCATGAATATCATGTTTTATATATATAATATATATTGTTAAAATGGGAGAGTATTTTTTATTTAGCAATGCACAAGTCAAGTAATTGTTTAGGCCTGATATTTTGTGTTATATGCATATATATGGATTTTGCCACGTTAGACACTTTGAAACTATTTACACAGGCATCTGGTGATGTTTGCATGTGACATCAAACATTCTTTGTGAACAGGCATGTCCTGCTTGCCTTTATACCAACAGTTAATCTGACTCTTCTGGTGTAGCAGCAGAGGAATCCAAGTCCTTCATGTCTTCCTATGACTTTCCAAAGCTGACATGTCTGTGTCTGAACAAGGACTGTGAGGGTGGCCATAGTGGTCATTTCAAGGATTGCTTTGAGAAAAAAACTGCAAGGTGTTAATAGTCTATGATATAACATTCCTCTTTACTATATATCAATTTTCTTTTGTCTTAGAGGTACTTAGATGCTTGTACACCTAACTCTGGTTTCTGCTCACCAATTTTAATCCTTTTCCTGGCAGAGCAGACACTACAATCAAGAAGTCATTTTCTCAGGATGCAGTTAATCCTCTGTGCCATGAGTATCACCACTTTGGCTTCAGCTCAGCCATGTTGGTTTAGGTAGTTGGGAGCTCAGTTTTTGTTCTTCCTTGACTTTAAACCATTAAAGAAATACCACACAGGAACCACACACGTTTTAACTCTTTTTTCCTAATTACGTACTGAACATTTACCCAAATTGTTGCTGATGAATAATTTTACACTTTTAATGTCATAAATTATGTAGCTACTTAAATTATTAATGTAAGTTACCTGTTCTACAGAAAATGAATAAATTAGGTACTTCTCCTGGCAGAAGAACACATGGTGTTGCCCTCTTCTATAGTGATACAGGTCAGTGACCCTATTACTGTTCTGCTTCAGTATAGCATTATTTTCCATGTGTTCATAAAGTAATAATGAATGGAATGTGGAAAATACCCCTTGAGATGCTCTATGAAATAGACATTTCTGACTCCAGCTAGTAAATACACTTCTTAAAAAAAAAAAAAAAACAAGCAAAACCTCCCCAACAGACAGATTATTTGCAAAACTGAGATTGCAAAAGGATTTAGTTAAGGGGAAGTAACTGTGAAAGAAGCTAACTGTATGCAAACGTGATTCATATAATATTATTTTTCATCACCTTGTGGCGTACGTATTCACTTGGAAAGAGACTTGATGCAATAAGCTTGTAAGTATATGGAACATAGAAAAAGATGGCTTTTATTTACTGATTCAATTGATTTATTCCTTGCTTATTAGTTTTAATGTTCATGGCAAACTGATTTAGGAGTAGAGTGTTCTTTTATGACTGATTTCAGCATGCATGAATCTTTTGTGGGGATGGATGAGTACTGGCAAATAAATATTTTAACTTTATTATGGTGGTTGTGTTTTATTCCAATAGTATGTACATTCTAATGGTACCATAAGAGAAAAAACAACTAAAAATAGTAAAATTAAAGCATAGTTTTAGATTTCAGTGGA